AGTAGAAAAAAAAAGAATTAAAACAAAAACTAATGTAGGCAGCACTTATACAAGATCCGCTCAACAGATTCATTTTGGCCTCTATACATAGATACTTCCTCACTACTGTGGCTCATAAGTGGTCCACTGGTATTACAGACTGGTGACCCACTAGTACTCCAAAATAGTGTGGTCCACTAATGCTGTCATGACCCTGGAAACTATTAATAGCATTAACAGTAACAACATTAAATATTAAATGTACTAAACTGTTCACTCTGCAGCCACTCCTGGCTGATACCAGTCACCATGCTGCTGAAGATTATATTATTAAGTTTCTTCTCTCGTAACATCTGTGAAAATCCTCATATTTTGAAGGAACTGTAGATGCTGGCATGACAGTACCATATGGAATGTAGATGCTTTTATATTTTAAACTATTGTCCGTCCGGCATTAATTACATATGAACAGTATCACACAAACAAGCCAAGGCCGGGTCACCACTACTTAGAAAAGACCCGGGCCGGGAGAATACCGGCGAATAAAAAAAAAAAAAAAAAAGTTGTGATAGTTTCAAAAACTTCGATTCAAGAATAAAACCGTAACAGGTACCTGAATATTGTTTAAAAATTACCACTGAATGCTTCTTGACTGAAGCATAAATCTGTCATTGGTGGATCTAGCAGTGCCATAAGTTGAAGTAACATCATAATTTCATCTATACCTGTGTATATAAATGTTTTACACCCAATGCGATCATGATGTCCATAAAATACATTTATAAAAAATGATACAAAAACAAAAGCGTTGTGCTGCCTAACCATCAATGTTGAGCTGGTGTTTATAAGCTTAGTGTTGACCTAACAATTCCTTACACTAAAAAAAAATCGCAAATTGGTTCATAAAATGGACAAAAAGAAAGAAAACGGAGAACAAAGAAATAGTTGAAAATATTCATCAATCTTGAATAAAGTCCTAACCAGTACACATCATATCAAGATAGTTATAAAAACACAAGCTTTGGTAGAGTACGTACGGGTCGAGACACATGACAACTCTTACTTTCCTTATATCTGAGGCACCACAAATATATTTATATATAACCAAATGAACTAGAAGCTATACCATTGGAAACAAATGAGTTGTAAAAATGAAATATATAAAATAAACGAAGTAACAACAATACTTGAAGAGAGCCAAAAAAAAAAAAAAAAAAAAAAAAAAAAAAAAAAAAAAAAAAAAAAAAAAAAAAACGGGAATGCAAAGAAATTCTGGGTGAGGAAAGAGTTCGGGGGAGGGGGGATGGTTAACATGTCTAGAACACTACACCAGATTCATCTTGCATCACTTCCTCTCACTGCTGATGTTCACACGTTCTACTTAACATTTGAATAATCACCTGTCCTATCTAGTTTAAAGCTTGACTGCATAAAGTCCATTTCGTTTTCAATGGTTCAAATGGTACAGATGTCAATGTTTTACCGCTCACATAAACGTAAACACTGGGAAGAACATCTTGCTAATGCTTATTTCTCCTTCAAACTAAAATACAAAACGGAGAGGAAACAAAACATTGTGCTGCATGAAACCCAGAAATTCTTGTCGTTTCACATTTTTTTCCTTCACTTAACTCAAAGTATTTGTGCGTTTGCAGAGAATCACCGTAGTTCAACACTGTCCAGGTCTACACATCTCGAGTACATAATTGCAATGTTTCACTCGCAAATCAGTTTGTGAATTACCTAGGATGCATTCTTCAATAATATATAGATTTCTATAACGTCATGCAGAATATATAGATATGATTTCTTTATAAAGAACATTGTATATATCGTTCTCTCTCAAAAGCAGGAATGATTCTCAGTTTTGTTTTAAAGAGAAAATGCAGAACGAACACTCATATTGGCTTTGTTACTAGTACATCTTTGAAATTTAGTTAAGCACCCACTTGAAAAATTGACTTGCTTCATATTATTTTATCAGTGTGAAAACACCAGTGAATGTATATAGAAATGTTTCATTAATCATATTGGAAGGATTAAGTGCAAACTAAAGTCTGATTAATAACGTGAACTTTTACCAAGAAAGTTATCTGAAATTTGGGTATAATTTGAGAAACTCCTTGAAAATATTAGTGAGAATGTTTGTAATGTTACAGTGTTTATTTTCCGACCTTCACACAGGGTTCATATAGGGTTCAATAGTTCAGGCTACCTGAGTAACATTCTTGCATTTCACTTGCTATTTGTCGTTCACACAGTCCTCTTGCGCATTTCGAAATTTTATCATTGAAAAAACCTCAACTTGAAAATAATTCACATTCTTCAAAAACTATTTCTTTGAGCCGCAGAGTTCATAATTTTTCGTAACAATGGAAGATGAAGTGTGTTACCATCGCTTGTTGTTAAGAGAAGTAGAAGATATTAACAGGAACACCAAGAGAACACAACCAAATATAAATACACAGAAAAATGAATTTATGAAAGAAACAACGGCAAATAGGAATGAGCTAGATAAAAGAGATAAAAGTAGATAAAAGAGATCATTTTGTGAGGAGCTATAGATAACTGACAGAGACATGTGTTTGCTAAAGAATACAAAAAAATGTGGTTATAAGATAAAAACCAATACCAATAAAGGCTTGGATCCGGTATTACAGCACCGTATTAAATGAATGGTTATGATAACGCAGTGATGTTGGCTCCGGGTCTGTGTGAATATTGGCTCTAATACAGTACAATAAAAAATAAAATACTTAACAGAATACTGGTGGGGAGGAGGATGAAACGGTGGGTAGGAGAGTTGAGAATATTGGAGGGAAAAATTCTGCTGCTAAAAAAAAAAAAAATAAAAAAACTGTGATTAATGTGTGAGGCCCATGCATGCTAAACTACACGGAATCACAATGTTCCGTGTGTACAATGAATGGTTTATAGACTGCGAGAATAGCGCTTAGATCTCGCTATTAAAGGACGGAGGATCGAGCCTCTACATCTCTTTATGCTGAATAACACGCAGGGAATTAGTACTTCATATAATAATAATAATAATAATAATAATAATAATAATTCATACAAAGAATTGCTGAATATTCAGGAGGACTCTTCAAAATTTTAGTTTTCATACTAGTCAGCTCTTGGTTTATCTACAAGCCAGATGAACTACATAACAAGTATTTTATATAGGCTTTGATATTCCTACTGACCTCTTCAGCCTGCATTAAATAGTAGTCTCTAAACAATTTATAATGCCTATCAAATAATAAGATTACACATATTGGAACTTTCTCAATGCATACTCCACCTTCCTATAAATTTGTGCTGTTAATATAAATGATTTATGTTCGATAGGGAAGAGGCTGTAACCGAAATAAATTAACTTAAAGTTTTTAAATACCCGGTTAAAGCTTGAAATGCTAGGAAATAAGACTCGTGCATGACTTGCAAGACGGAAGACTCACTGTTACGAGAGCTTTCTAAGGCGACAACTAGCTAGACACAGACGCAAGATGCACAACCACCTTTTACTGGGACAACGTTTTGCTCTGTATGGAGCGTCATCAAGTCTGCACAAAGCGAAACGTTGTACTAATAAGGTTTGTTCTGCAACCTGGATCTTCGTTTTCATACTTGATGACAATCCCACATTTAACTGAACTAACTAGCTTATATAAGGCCTTCAGGGATCACTCAAGTATTCTTCAGTTTTTACAACAAGAAAAGTTACTTAGAATGTGCAATGCTACACAAAGTTATACTTACATAAAATTAAACAAATATAAATGTTATTGACATTCTTTACTTTAATGAGAATTGCAATAAGTCTATTTTTTTCATCAGTATGTAAATGTTAAAGAAACAACGAGCCTTTTTATTTCCCTTATCAATAATTAAATGTCATTTTTAAGTATACAATATAATCTCTTATAAGACATTACCTGTTATGACGTGTCTTCAGTAATGTGTATTGTACAAGTATGTTTTCTTCCTCCAACAGCGAATATTACGGACCATGGATGGTGGGAGGGGGGGAAGGGACGTGTTGAAACTTCGTGCGTCACATTATCTTGTACGAAAATTATCAACTGGTAATCTGCGACTTATAGTTGCATAATAATTGAGAGGAATAATCTGAAGCCACTTTCCAAAATGAGCTTAGTCAGAGGAAAATATGTATTGGGGTATCTTGTGAGTAATCAGTGAGCAGCACTGCTTCTGGAAGTAAGGGAAATGTTGACAAGAGGATGCATGGTGTATGGAGGAAGATGTAGTATGACAACACAGTGAAGCAACGTGGCAACACAGTTCTCAGACGCTTCTACTTAACACCTTCCTCCAGAGATCCAAAACTTACTGTACTACAAATGACTTGCCTTGAATCTGTAATTGTGTGTGTGTGTATATATGTGTGTATATATATGTGTATATATATGTGTGTGTGTATATATATATATATATATATATATATATATATATATATATATATATATATATATATATATATATATATATATATATATATATATATATATATGTATGTATGTATGTATATATATATGTGTCGTGCCGAATATGTAAAACTTGCGATCTTGGCTTAAATAGAAACGCTCATCTTGCCATATAGGACAAGTGAAAATTTGTGTATGCAATAATTTCGCAAAAATCATTCTAAACCTAACGAAAAAAATATATTTCATTGTGTTTGTTTAGTATTAAATTATTATAAACTAATTTAAAATATATTCAGTTGGATTAGGCTAAAATAAATTGAGCTTGTTATAATAAGGTTAGGTAAGTTTTCTGAGATTCTTTTGGTGCAAAATTAAAATGTTTTACATTAACATTAATGAAAGAAGTATATCTTTAAACGTATGAGAAATTTTTTTGGAAAGGACTTAATTGTAAATGAGTTCTTGCTAATTGACCAGTTTTACATATTCGGCACGACATATGTATGTATGTATATATATATATATATATATATATATATATATATATATATATATATATATGTCGTGCCGAATATGTAAAACTGGTCAATTAGCAAGAACTCGTTTAAAATTAAGTCCTTTCTAAAATTTTCTCTTATACGTTTAAAGATATATTTTTTCATTAATGTTGATGTAAAAATTTATAATTTTGCACTAAAAGGAACTTAGAAAACCTACCTAACCTCATTATAACAAGCGCAATTTATTTTAGCTTAACCCAACTAAATATATTTTAGATTTGTTTACAATAATTTAATACTAAACAAACACAGTGAAATATATTTTTTTGGTTAGGTTCAGAATGATTTTGGCGAAATTACTGTATACACAAATTTTCACTTGTCCTATATGGCAAGATGAGCGTTGCTATTTAAGCCAAGATCGTGTGTTATGTACCTAAATTTGTGCTAATTTAGTATCTACATTTAAGTAATAACCAGCAAAGTTATCAAAGTAGGCAAGCGACTCGACAATATGTAGAGTCCTCTACACCAGAGATGTTTTTACTCATCACTGAAGTCCTCTTGTCAGGACTTGTAATTTAGGAGTCCATCGTGCAACCATAACATATCTGACAGGGGTAAGGCGAATCATGACACTACCCTGGGGTAACACCGTCACACTTCACACAACAAAGCCAGAAGAATGACACAGACGGAGGTTGTTATTGCTGGTGACATGGTCTTGACTCAGGAGCCCATGCTGAGGCAGCTCCTACGTGTATCAGGTTCCTACAAGTTTCCTCGTAGTGATAATCTGGCGATAGCACACGCTGCTGCTGCTTTTGTGGTTGTTCTTGTCAATAATATTACTGTGAAGGCCACATTTTTAACGTAGGAGTGACTGCTGCAGAGTGGTGTGTCGCTAATGGAGACACAGGTGTCTGCACTGGCTGCCACTGTCCGCCAGGCTACGGTAGCAGCAGGGTAAACTGCTGATCAAGATGTTATGATGGAGCTGGGTGCTAGAGAGCAGTGTGCCTCATATCCTGTTGAGGATCGGAAAGTATGTGAGAAGCCTGACCATGAGCCTGAAGAGGCCGTACCAAGCTCTCCTGGCAGCCCTACTCTTGAGCATGACCAGCCGCCAAGCCACCAGCACCACCAACACGCGCCACGCCTGTCGGACCCACCACATCCTGACGCCAGAAAGAATATAACATTAGAGATACAACATAGTAAGCTTATGTTAGGTAGGTTGTACTCGCACTCAAACTTGTGAAGCTATTTGTTAATTTGACACACAAGACACTAATTCACAATTCTGCACTTCGCACCAGGGACATACAAGTACCTTGGTATACCTTTTCTTCATGAATATGGTAAAACATGAAGTAGTGTAGTCTACATGAATGTGGTCTACATACATATACATTCTTACTATACAATGAACTAGAATACAATCATTTTTTACATACGAATTTATGTACCAGAAAACCCACAAGAAGAGAAGACAGCGTGATTAACCTCTTACAGCGCATAGTAGTACACTGATAAGTGCTAGTCCACTAATACAAAGTATGGCAATCGACAGAGTATATGCCGTATAAACCAGATGAATCTAGTATGATGGTCAATAGAGAGCTACTGTTTACTAAAGGCATGCACAGAATTAAGTTTTATTATATTTGCCCTAATGCGGCCTCGGCCGAAGTGTTAGTTAAATACAGGATATACCTTTTTGAAGCAGCGCTTCTTGACGTACTCACATTACAATCAAATACGTGGGTTAGCCAGTGTAGAAAACGTGCATGCTGTGCAGATATATACATATAGTTTAGTACTGTAACATTCTTTTAAAAAATATAATCTTCATAACATGCCTGGGTTTTATTGTTCCAACCAGTCGTAATTCAAGATGCATATTTTTCACCACACTAGCTACTAGGATATGTACCGAGAGGTATTATGCACCGAATGTAAAATCCATTTTAGGGACTGAGTTTTCTTGACTAGTGATGATTGTTACATGCAACCTTAATGACTCTCATCTCGTCGAGAGGCTTTAACTTCATTAGCGAACCACCAGCTACCTCCGTCAAACCTTGTATCATTTACATTTTTGTCATCATGGATACCACCATCACAAATACTATCACCAGAACTACCATTACTAACCACTACCTGATCCTTCATAACAATCACTACAGACGCCAATATTATTACTATCCTCATTACAAGTACTATCAACACCATTACCACTACAACCACCACCACCACTGTTACCATCACCATCAACTCATTATTACCACCACCACCATCACCACTTGTGACATGACCACAACCACTCCTGACATCACCACCACTAGTATCACAACCACCACCATCAGCAGTATCACCCTCAAGGGGACTCACTGTATGGGCGATGATGCAGAAGAAGAATAGAGCAGCCAGACCAACTACTCCTATAATTCTCGTCATAAACTGCACCCAAAACATTCTGAAAGCGATGATATCTAAAATGTCACATATTCCAGAAAGAAGAGACATGGTCACAACGTTCAAGTAGGGATAAGTTGAATTAAATAAACTGAACACTGCTCGACATGGGACACGGGGAGCGAGTTGAAGGGAACCTAGAGAAGGGAGAGGGCTTGGAATAGAATAATACAGGGAATTTAGAATATGTTAACACAGGGCGGGAGGGAGCCTTAACGGATTAGTGAAGGGAAGTAGGGAGCCTGGATTAGATTAATGCAGGTAGGCAGGGAGTCTTTTATGGATTAATGCAGGGAGGGAGGGAAGGAGGGATAAGTCTGAGGAACGAGGGAACAAGATAGCCTCCTCATTATATAAGCAGAAAAAAAATAGGGAGCAAGAGGAAGTGTATGGTAATTAAGAATGATCAACCGGAGACTCAGACTTCTCAGTGGTCTCACGTGTAATAGGAAAGGCACACATTGCTAGAGCATGGTGGATGACACACCATGCACCATATTATACATACTAGTATCTATCCTTCAATGAGGGGGGGGGTAAGGGGCACGGAAATGGAGATACCCTTCCCTTACTGCATCAGAATTACCTCCCTATCACCTGGCACTGTATGACCCTTACGGGTTCAGCGCTTCCCATGAATGTAGTACTGTAATAATAAATGTATTCGTATTTGTATAGGACTTAAAATATACTGGAATAAAATACACCTGCTTATAAATACTTAAACTCTTAAATAAGTGTAAAACTGACAAAACCTGTCAAAAGTAATTAGAAGCATATGCAGCCACTGAAACCATTACAATCTGCACTAAAAAAATTCTCCATGTTCTGATGTGTGTATTATATATATATATATATATATATATATATATATATATATATATATATATATATATATATATATATATATATATTATATATATATTATATATAATATATATATTTATATATATATATATATATATATATATAAACATTCCAGAACGCTGAAATAATACTGGCATATAATGCCATGAACCATACAGACAGGGTAAAACGCATGCAATATTTGGGTATCTTTCTTGCCGAAATGTTTGGCCTATACGACAGACTTGTTCAGTTGAGTACAGAGGTGACATGATCACAGCAGAGGTGGTGGCAAGGTACACATGACGTAATCAATCCCTTAACTTTGAAGAAGTGCTTGACAAGGTTGATGTACTTGAGCATCTTGACCTCGCTACTGCTTCTGCTGTCTCCGTATTTAGTCACTTCTGCATTCGCCTGAAGAAGCCTACTGTGCAGGCGAAACGTTGTACATGGGTCTTATTTATCTAGTTGTCAGTAGGCAATATTCTCGCTTCACACAGTGTCCGTGGTTTGATTCCCGGCAAGGGTGGAAATATTGGGTGTGTTTCCTTACACCTATTGTCCTTGTTCACCTAGCGAGCAAGTAGGTACCTGGGTGTTAGTCGACATGTGTGGGTGTAATCCTGGTGGACACAATGGAAAAAAAAAGTCTTCGATCACGCACTGACTCTTGGGTTATCCGGGGTGGCTAACCCTTCGGCGTTAAAAATCCGAACAAAATCTTACACCATTTTCATAATTACACCATACAGGGAAAAAAAACACACTGGCCACGTCATTCATATATACCAAGTTACTCTTATACTGTACACACCGTATTTTCCGGCATATAAGGAGCCCTTTTTTCCCCCCCACAGTCTTAGAAAATCAGCCTGCGCCTTATATGCTCAAGGTCAGGGTCAAGGGTAGGCTTTGGGTTACACCTTAGCAGATGTTTATTAAAGTTACGTTACAACTGCTTAGAATCACCGTCTTATACGTTCATGTGCCTTAACTGCTGGAAAATACGCTACCTGTGAAATACTTGTGTCACTAAACCTTTAATCACCTGAATTTGCATATCCTTTTTTTCTCACGTCATCATCTGCGTTACTAGAAGCGACGTACGACGTTGCACACCTTCAATATTTCTTTTAGTCACACAAAAACTGGTCGAGAGACGAGGACAAAAACCCTGCTCATCAGGAAATCCCAGAGAGACCAACACTCGTCCCCCTTCCCCAAGCCTGAAGCTAGGTCCCCCGCGGTGGGTGAGACTGTTAATGGAGTTTAAATTTGGTCCATCGACTACGCTAGGGGTCATTAAAGCTCCACTTAATCTCATCAGACAAGAAAACCTTAATCCCTAAAATAGGGATGATAATTATATAATTAACCATTAACATATATACGCAGAGACAAATACACCTCAAGGTGTATATATCCTGCACAGTGGTGAGATCTGCCAAGTCACAGTAACTAGTGGGGGATAGTCCCTGGGAGGGGTACAACCCCCCCCCCAGGATGCTTACCTGACTATGAATCCAACTCCTCCTCCGGCATAGTCGGTATATTCCCCTACTGGCTTAGGTTACGCACACCTCTGGCCCATGACGTTGAAAATATTATGGGCATAGACTGCAGAATGTGAAAATGAATTTTGAACAGTTTTACTTACATTGTGATTATGGTTTATGTAATACGAGACCGAAGTGGTTATGGCCATAGCAAGTTGGTAGCGAATAGTGAATATTCGTTATATTAATGCTAGAAAGGGAATGTTTAAAGCGCTGAGCAACTAAAATCTTCTATTGATTTGTAAATACAACAGGACTATCAAGAGTATCCCAACTCAATGCTAATTATACATTATTATTTTTTTTATTAACACAGCCGTTTCCCACCAAGGCATGGTGGCCTGAAAAAGAAAAACTTTTACCATCATTGAGCTCCTCAAGAATGCCAGATTATCTGATACACGGAAGTGCTAACCAGGGAAGTGGAAAATATTGAGCTGAAGTTAAGGACTAATACAGGATCCAGGAGAGACAAGAGGAGCTAAAAGCGATTAATGAAATTGAAAGAAATTCGAAATATTTCTTTTCATATGCCAAAAGCAAGTCAAAAACCACTTCTAGTACAGGGCCCCTGCTCAGACAAGACGGATCCTACACAGGCGACAACAAAGAAATGAGCGAGATACTGAAATTGCAGTATGACTCAGTGTTCAGCGAGCCACTAACCAGTTTAAAGATAGATGATCCAAGCAATTTTTTCATGAATGAGCCTCAAAACCCTGCCAATGTAGGCCAGATTTATGACATAACCCTAACTCCACTAGACTTTGAGAAAGCCATCGACGACATGCCCATGCACTCAGCCCCAGGCCCAGAGTCGTGGAACTCGGTGTTCATTAAAAACTGCAAGAAACCCCTCTCACGGGCCCTAAGTATGCTGTGGAGAAGGAGCTTAGACACAGGCGAGATTCCAGTCACTAAAACCAACAGATATAGCCCCACTCCATAAAGATGGCAGCAAAGCAGTAGCTAAGAACTATAGACTAATAGCTTTAACGTCCCACATCATAAAAATCTTTGAAAGAGTTCTAAGAAGCAGGATAGCAAACCACCTGGACTCCCAAAAATTGCACAACCCAGGGCAACATGGTTTCAGAGCAGGTCGCTCCTGCCTTTTGCAACTGCTTGACCACTATGATATGGTCCTAGATGCACTGGAAAACAAACAGAATGCGGATGTAGTATACACAGACTTTGCAAAAGCCTTTGACAAGTGCGACCATGGTGTAATAGCACACAAAATGTGTGCTAAAGGAATAACCGCCAAAGTAGGCAGATGGATCTTCAACTTTCTAACCAATCGCACACAGAGAGTATTGGTAAACAGAGTTAAATCAGATGCTGCCATAGTGAAGAGTTCTGTCCCACAAGGCAAGTACTCGCATCTATCCTGTTCCTTATTCTCATATCAAACATAGACAGAGATGTAAACCACAGCACTGTATCATCTTTTGCAGACGATACTAGGATCTGCATGAGTGTCATCCATTGAGAACACGGCAAAGCTCCAAGAAGGTATAAACCAAGTTTTCCAATGGGCAACAGAGAACAATATGATGTTCAATGAAGACAAATTCCAACTACTCCGTTATGGAAAACTGGAGGAAATAATAAATAGAACTGAGTATACTACAAACTCCAATCACACAATAGAGCGGAAAAGTAATGTGAAGGACCTGGCTGTAGTAATGTCCGAAGACCTCACCTTCAAGGACCACAACAATGCCACTATCACATCTGCTAGGAAACTGATAGGATGGATAATGAGAACATTCAAGACAAGAGATGCTAAGCCAATGATGATCCTTTTTAAATCACTTATTCTTTCTAGACTGGAATACTGGTGTACATTACATCCCCATTCAAGGCAGGTGAAATTGCAGAGCTAGAGAATGTACAGAGAACCTTTACTGCACGTATAAGCTCCATCAAACACCTTAACTACTGGGAGCGTCTGGAAGCACTTGACTTGTACTCACTAGAACGCAGGCGAGAGAGATCATAATCTACACCTCGAAGATTATGGAGGGACTGGTCCCTAATATGCACACAGCAATCACTCCATACGAAAGCAAAAGACTTGGCAGGCGATGCAACATACCCCCAGTGAAAAGTAGGGGCGTCACTGGTACACTAAGAGAAAACACAATAAGTGTCCGGGGCCCAAGACTGTTCAACAGCCTCCCACCAGCAGTAAGGGGCATTACGAGAAGACCCCTGGTTGCCTTCAAGAGGGAGTTGGACAGATACCTAAAGACGGTGCCGGATCAGCCGGGTTGTGGTTCGTACGTTGGATTGCGTGCGGCCAGCAGTAACAGCCTCGTTGGTCAGGCCCTGATCCACCGGGAGGCCTGGTCGTGGACCGGGCCGCGGGGGCGTTGATCCCCGGAATGCCCTCCAGGTAGACTCCATCACTGTCTTGCCAGGGGCGTGCTTACACTACAGTTATAAAACAGCAACATTAACACCTCTCCCTCAGAGTGCAGACACTGTACCCCCTACCTCCAGGACTCGAGTCCAGCCTGCCGGTTTCCCTGAATCCCTTCATAACTATTACACTACTCTCACTCCAACAGCACGTAAAGTCCTAAAAACC